GTTAGTGAATAGTTGACTGAAAAGGCCACCATCTCCGTTGGCCTATCAAGCGATTGCAAAAGAGTTTGTTTTGATAGCAGTAATGTGAGTAATGTGTATTCAGATAACTTAATCTAGTCTTTATACTCCATCTAGCATCACTAAATGTACATTATAGCTCTTCAGCTCAGCGTACATTCGTTGCTTTGTCTTCCACAGTCACTGAAAGAAAGTCTTTCGTTCTTTAACTAATGGGATATCCGATGAAATGGGCCAGCTTTCCTTGTCATTACTGTATTCTACGCCAACTCACATGTCCGGTTCCTCTCACAGGAATTGATTGGTGTAGACTATCCACAGTACCCTTTGCGAGTCTTCTTGCGAATCTGGAGTTTTCGCTCGAGCCGGATGAATCTGCCAACAGACATAATTTGCATTGCATGATACACCTATAATCATAATCAATGGATGATCCACCAGCCCAAAGCTTCACAGATGTCTTGGGTTTGTTGGTATGTACTCATTAAAGTATCGTAGTAAGCGGCTCAACCGTTCAACAGCGGAAAAATTGATACAACACCGTTTTTATTCACCGCGTTCAGCTGGACGTTATGCAAAGTCACGTTTTCTAAAAATCATTCATGCTTGTGCTATCCTGTGAAAAATGCGGAGCGTCTATTCTGAAATGGGTTTTATCGGAAATCCAACAAAACCTTCAAATAGGCGATTTTAATGGGTCATTCTACACAGCAAATCGGAGCAGAGTTGGTCTTCTCTCTTTCGTTAACTGGAATTTCACCAGGAGCAAATTCACCAACCACGGGGATAGTTGCTTGTATATCAGACAGTGGACTCGTTACGGATGAGTTTGTGGCAAGATTACAGTGGGACACAAGCAAATCCGTATGACCAAAGGCATCCTATTTCCACGGATTTAACAACGCTGATGTTCCAGCAAATCGATATCTCACCATCGTAGTCTTCAGCAAATACTCTTTGAAGGAAAAAATAGTCACTATTCAACCAAGATGTGTGGGTTGTATAAATTTATTTTTTTCGACTTGTTTCCAGATATCCTTGCAGGTGGTATGACTGTTTAGCGGAGTCATCTTTCAAGCAGTAACGTCTTCTGTGGGGGCTGCACTCCCACGCAGAAGCCATTCAGAGTGATGCATTTTATATGTGCGGTCGGTTCGATTATTTCTAGTTCTAGTCAAAAACAGACGTTGGTATGAAAATCTTTATTCCGATGCACCAGTTTTTGAGTGTCATGCAAATAGAACAACAAGTTTCTCCCGTTTCTTACATTTGAATAAGGCTTTGGCTATCGAAATAGCTAACAAAGTCACAAACAGACAATTTTCACCTCGGTGTGTTCTGCGTGCTGCATTTTTTGAGAAATCAGTACTTGTTCAACTAGCCTAGCGAACGTTTGGCTAACAAGTTTCTCCCGTTTCTTACATTTGAATAAGGCTTTGGCTATCGAAATAGCTAACAAAGTCACAAACAGACAATTTTCACCTCGGTGTGTTCTGCGTGCTGCATTTTTTGAGAAATCAGTACTTGTTCAGTGATACTAGCGAACGTTTGGCTACCCATACTTGGAGCCACTCCTTTCATTTGATTACAAAATACAGGATTGCAATATGTGAACGAGACAGTTTACCTAGAACCGTATTTCAACATGTCGAAGAGAAAATGGTTGATCTCAGACCCTCGGTAGTTTTCTGACAACCCTAAAGTTCTGTTTGTGTTCACATCTTTCTAGGCTACAGTAGACTTATTTGAGATGTAAAGACCATTTGCTCATACCCATGGTGGGCGAGAAACAATAAAATGTTGACTCAGAAAAAGTTTGACGGATGTATCCAAATGGCAAACCCCCCTATACTCAAAAGCAAGAATCGAATCGTAGTCTCTCATGGACCGGACAAAACCAACTTCAAATCAAAATGAATTGCAATTTGGTTTACTTCATTAAATGCTATACTCGAATGTATGGATTCATAGGGTAATCAAAAGAATGCCGGGCCCTAGTACGTGCTCGGATACTTTTAGCCACCTGGGGTCCCCAGGTGGCTACACAAACACACTTTGATCACATGGCCCGCCATGCCCTACCGCCTTGATCGCTGGGTGGAAAACCTCGAGCAATTTGTGTGGTCAATTTCTGCCTCTCGGTCATGTTTTCAAAATGCACTTTAATCTTACGCCCCCCCCCGTTACAAGGGGCTGATATAATAATGAATGCGTATGGCCTCTCAAAGGCTTTTAGTCCAAAAAACCTTCTTCTCGCATTGTTTGTGGCTAGGGTGAAGTACACAGTAAGCGTTTATTCGCCCCTCCATTTGGAAAATGAATACACTGTCAACCAAACAAGGGGTTAATATAATAGAAATCAAAAAAGGAAAACAAACTGGGATATTCACAATCGTAACGAAACTCTTAGCGTCACTTTCGCCCCGTATACATACGATGACCCGTGAAGCGTCGACTCGACAGCAGTAAGCGGTCTTCCAGTCTGGTAGGTGTTTCCTACCAAATCTTCACACTCCGTCAGATGCAAGGATATCTTTAATTTCGGTATTCCCGGATTTTTGAAGCGCATTTGACTCATCTAAGTGTACGTTGTCCCCAACAGGCTTCATCAACAAGAAAGCCTTCGGAAGTTTTTGAACATAATGTGCACTCTGTATTCGAGGATAAACACGCGTGCAAGAACCTACAGGAAGTTTTCCGGAGTGTCCAAATGAGCGTCTGGGGGCTTAGTCATTTCTGGATGAATGTACCTTGCTTATTCAACTACCAGTTCTCTTGATAATAAGTTTCTGGAAAAATTTTGGCTGTATGGAAGTAAGGCTTCAGTGTTGAACAGGTCCTTGTAACGAGGGAACTTCTGTTATCTTACGCGTGATGTTTTTGGGCACCACCTCGACTATGAACCCGCCTCATAAGAATTTTTATAATTTAGGAAGTTGATGTTATTCTTACGGTTATGTAGAAATCTAAAACGGATCCTACTAGTCTTATCAGTTCGAAAGAAATCTGAGATTCACGGTCCTTTTGGAAGTTGAATCGATAAGCTTCGTGTCCTAGTTCTATCGTGAATTTGCCCTATCGACTAGCAGCCTGGTATTCAACGCCCAAGCTCCGGTATGATGTGACGTTTCGCCAACGCTCCCTTTACGAATATGGATCATGTGCCCGAATGTAGTGGGGAAATGTATCCAAATTGTTGCCTGGTATTCAACGCCCAAGCTCCGGTATAGGGAGACGTTTCGCCAACGCGCCCTTTATGAATATGGATCATGTGCCTGAATGTAAAGGGGCAATGTATCCAAATTGTCCGTACGCAGTTTGCAAACAGGGGATTAGAGTCGCCTACATTAATTCCGCACTAATTTAACACTAAGTGAATATTTGGCCTCCCCGACCCGTTTTGTTAATTGGATCACTTTTTGAGGCCCATTTTATCTATTGATACATATACTACTGTGAAGTTCCGTAAACCCGCAGAAGGCAAGTTCCAGTGTTATTTATGTTGTTGTTGACTGGTTCCAGGTATCTACCAAAAAGATGCTGACGGTGATGTTGATGGCGATAACGTAGAGGATGATGACGTATATGACGTAGATTCCCGTATATAACTGTCTCATTGTGCGCCTAATGTTTTATGCCGTACAAAAATACCTGGAAAAGTAAACTAGCATGCTCTGCGCGTTGAAATTATCCTTGAAAAGCACAAAGGACAACTCAGTAAGTGCGAGTTACACTTGGAATGTAGCGGTTGAAAACTCTAACAATGCTTTTTGAATATTGTAGCGAGCACCTCCCGGTGTAATAATCGTTGTTCGATATCACTGCCTGGCCACAGTTGAAACGCGTCGCCTAACTAACTGCAATCTTTGAGCGCAGGTAGCTTCCATGCGCTTACTGAGACTTTGAAACTCTGTTTACATGACTGCGGGCTACTCAAAACCGTCGATCACTTTAGATTTTCACCCGCGATATACAGTGTGGCCCAGCTCTACTTGTATTGATCGCTTGTTTTAATTGTCTCAAGCCCCTGTATTCTAATCGATCAGAAGAAGAAATTACAAAAACGTTAATTTCGGCAAACTCGCATTATGAATCACCTAGATTCCCGTTCACATAACTCTCGTTTAAACGGTTATCCTGTTGTTCAGGCGAGTCCACGTCAGAAAAGACAACATTAAGCGCGAAGTTGGTTCTTATCGGAGCTCCCTAGCAGTGTACATTCGTGTGTGGTGTTCTTCATATGCATGTTGAGTGGAACACGGTGGTGATTTTAATATGATAAAATTGTGCCCAAATTTACTAGCACTTTCGAATTGCCCGGTTGAATGTTTGTAATCCAGCTTTGATTAGTCGCGAATCTGTGCACTCCTTGTGTATTAGTTATCACGAACAAGGTCAAAATTGTGGTCCTATCCGAGGGCAGGTATGTTACATTTCAGGAAAATAAGCCTGTAGAAAATAGCAACCTAGGTAAGAAGCGCCATAATTATTTCACAAAGCTTTTATGTGGCCGAGGAGACATCTTTATGCGTGTCATAATCCCAGTTAGAAAAATAAAATTCAACGTTTTGCAGAACCGTTGTCAAGAAGCTATCAGCAGTGTGCAAATGTAACTTCGCCGTCCGCAGTTCGAGTACCCCGGGGTGTCCCACCAAACGGTCAACATACGGCTATTGTGTTTACTACGAAATAGAGAGACCTTGTCGAATCGAGAGTGGTATGGCAATCTTACCGGATCGATTACCAAATCATTTCAGACCACTGTGACCCTTTTTCAATTACATATTGAATATAAAACCTATGCAGAAAGCGGAAAAAGAACAATTCCGCTTGTTACCGACCATAGTCTACAGTTGCCATTTTAATCACCAAATTAAAGGAAGGCTGCAAAACGTTTGTGCATTGTTCGAACAATTCGAACTTTCCTTCAGTCAATCGTCCTCAAACCCATCTCTTCCTGTTTCATTGTCTTTCATTTTCAGATACGCGTTTACCTCTCCTTCACAGTGAGGATGTGGAGTGTGTGGACAGTGGTTATTCTGACAACGGAAAGATTTCTACTCATCCTATTCCCCTTGCGGTTTCAAAAGTTCCTCTCTCCCAAGGTTGCTTGGATCACAATCGGATGTAGTACCTTGCTCATTGGATTGATCAGCCTGCCGTGGTTGTTTAGCTTCTCTTACGTTGTCCAAAAGGATTGTTCTAGTAAGTCGTGGTAATTCTACACGTCATGTGATCAGTTCCTTGAGTAATTGTTTTGATCTAGTTCAAGGAGGCATTTCGAGCCTTAAGGCACGCAAAGCCAAATGATATATTACGCTATGCTTTCTCGTGAAAATAATCGAATTTAAATTTTAATATTCGTCATTCACGTCAAACTTGTAACCAAAACGTTCTTGCAAGTATACTACCGTCCACATAGACATGCGATCGGGGGGTCTCTATCAGTAAGCTTGTGAACTTACCTCAGCTGAAGACAGAGTTTCCAATTGTCGGAAAATTGTGTATCACGTTGTTGCAACATCACTATGAACGTATAGTTCGACTGTCGCAAAAAATATTCGACTGGATTTTAAAGAGTAGCCATGCAAAATACAGTTATTCACATAATTGGCCGGCAAACGATACTAAATAGTAAAAAAAAATGCTGACTAGAAATCGG